TCTTTTAGCAGTCTCTGCAGTCTTTCAGTTGTCTTTTAGCAGTCTCTACAGTCTTTCAGCTGTCTTTTAGCAGTCTCTGCAGTCTTTCAGTTGATTTTTAGCAGTCTCTGCAGTCTCAGTTGATTTTTAGCAGTCTACAGTCTTTCAGTTGTCTTTTAGCAGTCTCTGCAGTCTTTCAGTTGATTTTTAGCAGTCTCTGCAGTCTTCCAGTTGTCTTTTAGCTGTCTCTGCAGTCTTTCAGCTGTCTTTTAGCTGTCTCTGCAGTCTTTCAGCTGTCTTTTAGCAGTCTCTGCAGTCTTTCAGTTGATTTTTAGCAGTCTCTGCAGTCTTTCAGCAGATTTTTAGCGGTCTCTGCAGTCTTTCAGTTGATTTTTAGCAGTCTCTGCAGTCTTTCATCAGATTTTTAGCAGTCTCTGCAGTCTTTCAGTTGTCTTTTAGCAGTCTCTGCAGTCTTTCAGTTGTCTTTTAGCAGTCTCTGCAGTCTTTCAGCAGATTTTTAGCAGTCTCTGCAGTCTTTCAGTTGATTTTTAGCAGTCTCTGCAGTCTTTCAGCAGATTTTTAGCAGTCTCTGCAGTCTTTTAGTTGTCTTTTAGCAGTCTCTGCAGTCTTTCAGTAGATTTTTAGCAGTTTCTGCAGTCTTTCAGCTGTCCTCGCAGTGTATTTTTGCAGAAAATGTCAACTTGTTTGTTTTCAGGTTGGGCATTTCTAAAATGAACATTTTTGCCAGTTTTAAGTTTTGTTTGAATCTTTTGAGCACCAAACCTCCAGCTTTTTATTTTACCTTTTTCTTGCATCTGCAGTTCAGACTGTGTCTTTTTATTTTTTTATTTTTTGGATTTGTTTTTACTCGCATGCTGTTAAAATGTTCAAAACCTTATCTAAAGCTAATTATTAATCTGTTTTTTAAATCAAACCGTCATGACGTGTTTGTATTTGCTTGTTTTTGTTCTTTTGCAGTTTTTTAAGTCAACACATTGTTCTTGAAATGCAACAAGCAACAATAAAACGTGTTGTTGAAAAGCTCCAGTCCACAGAGGCCACGTTCATGCAGCTTCCACTCAGGCTGCAGCTTGAACTGTTGTCCTGTTATCCAGAAAGCTCTGTTTAGTAACCTGCTATTGTTGTTGGTGCGCACACATTATTCACAAAGCATGACTCACAGAGACGGGTAATAAAAGAAGAACCAGGTCACACAGATGGTCATGATTAAAGGGTTCGTGCAGAATGGGTTTAACTCCACTTGACTCCCTCTAATCTGTTTTAGATAGATATTTAAAAAGTCTTGTTTCTACAAGAAAAGACTACTTTGACTGGACTAAATTTCAGGGTCCACCTCAAAATGTGAGGTCCTAGTTGGAGTAAAACATCTTATCTTCCTCCGTTTGTCCCTTAGAGCTCGACGCAGGAGATCGGCGAGGAGGCCGAGGAGGACGCCATCTTCACCATCACGCTGAGGAAGGTGCAGCTACACCAGTCGGCCAGTAAGGGGCAGCGATGGCTGGGCGTGGAGACGGACTCCGCCCTGAGCCTTTACGAGACGTGCAAGGTGCGAACCATCAAGGCCGGCACGCTGGAGAGGCTGGTGGAGTACATGGTGTCAGCCTTCAGGGGCAAAGACTCTACCTACGTCACCATCTTCCTCTGCACCTACCGATCCTTCGCCTCCACCAAGCAGGTGCTGGATCTCCTGCTCAACAGGTACAAGTGTAGAGATTTGAATGAACTTTATTTAAATATAATCGACAGTGGTTAAATAGCGTTTTTTTTGGTACTGTCCCGTTCGTTAAGACTGAACTTGGTTTGTGTTTTTAGGTATGCCAAGCTTCAAAATGTGCCTGCTGCTACAGCACACAGAGTCTCCCAGGACGACCGCACAGAGCTGAGAAAGTAAGCGTACTTCCAGCATTAATCACATCCGTGGCACCGAGCCTCATCCCCACTCCCCCACCCTCACTCCCCCACAGGTTAAAGGCAGAGATCAACTGTTTGAAATGTCCTTTGTGTGTCTGTGTGTGTTTTTCTTTGTGAGGCTCTTGTCAGTCTGAGGGGGCTGTTTGATGAAACGCAGTTCACGAACTGACGGAAAATGTTGTAAATTCCAGAGAACGTGTTTTCTTTGAAGTGCCAGATTCCCCAACAGGTTCTCACCGTGATTAGTATCGCTTTTTAAAGCTCAAAGCTTTATTTTAAAACAAACAGCAGTTATTACATTTTTAAGAAGTTCAATGAAACCTGCGGTAAAACATAACATCCACCTCTTGGGGCGTTTTCACTCCTGCTCTGGACTAAAAGCTTCAGAAACAAAGTTCATTTATTTCTGTAATTCTGTTTAAAAAAAAGTGAAACATTATACCCAAAGTGATCGGTTTCAAACATTTATTTATGTTAATGTTGGTGATTATGGCTTCCTGCTGATAAAAAGACAAAACAAAACCCCAGTTTCTTTGGCTGGAGCCGTCACACGTGGACAAGTCAGTGATGGGGCTACATTTGACCCATTTCTGAAACCGGGACAAGGATAAGGACAGAAAGGACTGTTTGTTGCTGTGGTCCAACGTCCTCTTTTTGTGTGAAAGAATCCAAGCTGCTTGAGGTCCAGAGAAGTTTTTAGAGTTGCCGGTGGTTTTGGGATGAGTTGGTGTTGGTCCACTGGTTTTATCAGGTCCAAAGTCAGCGCAGCCGTCTACCAGGACGTTGGAGCACTTCACGTCTCTCTCTGCTGACGAGCTTTAAGGGCAGCTGATTTAATTTTCCAGCAACACATGGGAACCTGTCCACACTTCCAAATGTGCAAACACCTGGTTTAATGACCCCCATGGTGACTGGACAGCAAGCTGACCTGACCTGAGCTACTAGCTGGGTTTCCATACAGCAACACCCGAGTGTCTACGTATGTTGATGGTGCATCTGTTTGAAATGAGTTTCAATTTTTGAATGAAATTATTGAAATGAGGTCACTTTTCAACGATATTCCACTTTTTGTTTTAAATTTACTTTTCAAAACGGTGATTTCCAGCACATTTTTTTGATGTGCGAACAGCAACGATGGAAAAGTCTGCACTGTTCCCTTCACGTTCTCTTCATCGTCTCGTGTTTCTAAACACATCTTGCTGATTTGTGCAAAAGACACAATGAAACTCGTTGATTTAGTCCCAACAGCTTTAATGGATGTTTTTATTGTTTGGCTTCATCAGTCGTCTCTCTGATAGATGCCTGTGATCGTTTCAGTTCCTTCATCTCTCCTCTGTTTGTTAGAGATCTTGGTCTGCAGTTCTTTAGAAGATATACGTCACATTTCCATTTTTTTTATTTATTATTTAAATTTAGAGTTAATATAGTGGTGATTTTATATTGATCTGTGTGTTTTTAGCACTGTGTCGTCCATCCTGGGTGCATGGTTGGACCAGTACTCCGAGGACTTCTGGAGCCCTCCGAACTACGAATGTCTGCACCAGCTGCTGTCTTACCTTCACCTCCACTTCCTCGGTTCGGACCTGGAGCGCCGCGCCCGCAACCTGCTGGCCCACTTCCACCGGCGACAGCAGTGTGAGCCTGATCCTGATGGTATGAAGGCAGGACAGGAGAGGGACCGCAGGGCAGGGACTCCTGAATGTTGGGGCAATCAGTTCAAAGATTATAAACTTAGTTTTTGTCTTGAGTGTTTGCTTCTTAACATGTTTATGCATTCCTTTTAACAGTGAAGACGGTAAATTATTATATTTCGATCTGAAGAAAGCATGAGAAGTTTAAGCAGAAGAGCAGGAAGTGGGTTCAGGTCGAGCTCAGGCGGAGGCGTCGCTGTAAAAATTCTTTGTTTTGTTTGTTTTTCTTCCAGGGGAACACATCGGTTGCCCTTTTGCCACGCAGGAAGAGAGCGGCTTTGAGGACGAGCTTCCTGCGTTTAGTTTCCTGTCGTTTGACCCCATCATGGTGGCCGAGCAGTTCACGCTCATGGACGCGGTGAGGACGTTTCCTTTCCCTTGTCCCCTTGTCAACAGATTTAGCTCCGTTCTGTTTATGTTCATGATCCATTCTCTTTGGCTCAAATCGACAACAGGTGCAGCAGTGTTAGTTTTTTTTAATATATATATATATATAGAAATGGGCTTTTTGTAACGATTATTAGTCTAAAATTTTTTGAAAATGCACGTATTGTGCACATTTTTACACATATTGAGCTAAAATTTGGTGTGGTAGTACCTGAGAGTCATTCATAACCCATGATGTAAGCGTTAACAGATCTTGCATGAGATTGTGCATGTTATTTTCAAGATTTGACTAAAACGGCTGTAATTCCATCACTTCTCAACATACGATGATCTAAGCCAAACTCTGGCACGAAAGGTGGCGGGTGATATGCATTTTTTTTCTTGAAACTCTATAGGTGTAAATATTTTCACACTTATCAGAAACCGGAAATAAATTTTAATCTTTGAATTATTCGTAGAATCAAAACTATTACAGCAGCACTGACCAGAATGCATTTGTTTCCACAGGAGCACAAGTTAAATGTCCTCCGTCTTTCTGTCCATCCAGGATCTGTTCAAGAAGGTGGTGCCCTACCACTGCCTGGGGGGGATTTGGTCTCAGCGGGACAAGAAGGGGAAGGAGCACTTGGCTCCCACCATCCGAGCCACCGTGGCTCAGTTCAACTCCGTCACCAACTGCGTCATCACCACTTGCCTGAGCAACCCGGCGCTGAAGCCCAACCAGAGATCCCGGCTGATCGAGCGGTGGATCGACGTGGCACGGGTGGGTGCATTTATATACATGCTGGTTAAAATGGTGCCCACTTGTTCATTGCACTCATTCAAGACCAGGGTCTGAGTTTAGAAGACATCCTGTCAGTGTTTCTGGGACTAAACATCTCTGATTTGCCTGTAAGTGGCTTTTAAAAAGTTATTTATCTTCTGACTTGCTCTCTTTTTTTTTCCAATCAGGAGTGTCGGATCCTTAAGAACTTCTCCTCGCTGCGGGCCATCCTCTCGGCCCTGCAGTGCAACGCCATCCACCGTCTGAAGAGGACATGGGAGGAAGTGTCTCGGTCCGTCTCCAGCTTTGTACCCTGAATGTTGCTGATGGCAAAGAGACTGTTGGGTTTTAGTTTTTTATTCCCTGAGCTTTGTTTCTGCTCACAGGGAAAGTGTCCGAACCTTCCGCGAGCTCTCCGAGATCTTCTCAGACGACAACAACTACTCTCTGAGCCGAGAGCTGCTGGTGAAGGTGAGTCGGAGCTTCTCGACGGCACAAAGCAGAGAAACGCCACATCTGTGTTTACGAATCAAGAGTCCACCATTTGTCCACAACAACTAAAGATTAGAATATTTACTTTTGTGCATCCATAAAATAAGTTAAATATTATGACAAATTTACACTTTTTTAAAACTTCCTAAGAACTAGTACTTTTTTTTTATTATTATTTTTTTAACTATGAACTTAATTTTATGATTGGCTCTTTACAAACAGTAACTTTAATGATTTATGGCTGATTCATTTGTTTATAAATTCAGTCGCAGCATTGATCTTTACAAACAAAACAGAATAAATGTAAGTTAAAACAATCATCAAGTAAAACATCAGTTGCGAAGATAAATACAGAACATTGTTTCTGCTTTAAGTTAGAAAGAACAAAATATTGGAGTCACTTATAATTAAAACAGAAGCCTCAAACTTCAATAAACTTTGAGTGAATCTTTACTGATCAAACCGTCCTTGTTTGTTTAAAAACGCCTCTTAAAACTAACTTTGAGAAAAAGGACACGTTATTATTTCTGGCATAAAAAACATCAGCGTCGTAAATATTTATTACTTTTTGTCAGTCCCAAGTAAGCCTAAAATTAATGATGTTTTTTACAAATTAATATCCATAATTGTTTTATTATTCTACAGTGTTTCTTATGTTTGCAGTTTTATTTTCATTATTTTTTATTGGTCTTTATCTCATATTTAATGTATTTTAAAAAACTTGTTTTTATATATTTTTGTACTCATTTTGTTTAATAACTTTTGTCTAAATTACATTTAATAAAATGTATTTATATGCTTTATGTTAAGATGTTTGACGGAAGCAGGTAAAACCTTGTGATCATTGTTTTATGCAGATGTGCGACTCACATCTGTGTTTTTATTAGATTTAAGTGTGAAATTTCTTCACCTTTAACAGACAAACGTTAAATTCGATGCTCTGAAGCAACAAAGTGATTTTTATCGTTTTCATTATTGTCAAATGATCGTTTCATTGCACGTCTGCAGTTTGAACATCTGGAACATGTGGATGTTTTTGTCGAGTTCAGGTGAAGTGCGTGCGGTCACGCATTTCTAACCTTTTAGCGTGGCCTCCTCTGAGGGAATCCCTGCTGACGTCAAAGGGAGGAAACCTGAAGCAGGTGCAGATAAGAGCTCTGTGAGGAGCTGCATGTGTGGACGTCAGGGCGTCGCCGCCGTTTCTATCTGCTCAGAACAGGCTGCGCTCCCTCAGCTCAGACAGCTCATGTTACACAAAGCTCCAGAGGGTCTTGGAGTTGCATCACTTTCAGGAATGGGGGGTCAGGAGGTGGATTTCCTCCCACTTTCTGTCTTACATCAACCAGATGTTTTGTTTTTCCTCTTGACTGCAGCAGAAAGGAGGATTACTTAAGTCTGAACACACTGGATGATGCTTGCAAGCTCAGATTCAGCCCTAAAACCTGTGAATCATGTTAAAAAAAGGAAGCTTTTACATTTACATTATTTAGAGAAGAGATGCATTTTACAACTATTCTTTTCTCTTTTCTATTTTTCCGTACGTTTTTGCAGTCAAATTTCATGCTTTGCTATTTTAGCCGTTCACAGATCAAAGCATTCGGCTCATTTGGGAGATGGATGCTAGACTTTAGATTTGTGTAACTTGATTTTTTAATATGTAACTTGTATTCTATAAACATTTTGTCCCAATAAATACATTGAGATCCGTTTAAATCGTTACCTTCAAAAATCTGCTTTAGCATTCTTGCTTTGTTTTGTTTTCTTAAGCTATTTTTAGCTTCTGGCCAGCCTTTTGATACTTTCAGCTATCTTTCTGCCTTTTGATACTTTTAGCTTCTTTTCTGTTACTTTTAATAAGCTGATTGCTCATTTTAGTATCTAGTTACCGTTTGGCTCCTCTAGCTAGCATTTTGCTAGGTTTTTGCTGCTTTTGTTTCAAGCTAGCCATTTTGTTTTTTGCTTCATTTAGGTTTTGGCTATCATTTGCTACTTGTAGGCATTTTGCTTTTAGCTAGTTTCTTGATACATTTTGCTACCGTCTGCTACTTTTAACTATTCTTTGCTCATTTTATGGTAATTTCTAGCTGAAACTGAGCAACTTTTAGCTGACATTTGGCTACATTTAGCTTTTAGTCAGTCTTTTGCTGTATTTAGAGTTAATCTAACATTTATTTACACTTAGCTTTTAGCTAGTGTTTAGCTTGTTTTAGCTTTACCAGCAGTTTGGGCTCTTTCTGCAGTCATTCAGAGCTCATTTATTCACTCAAAGACTTTTTGGCTGTTTTGGAGACAGTAAAACACAATTTTAATTTCTTACGGGCAACATCTTATTTCATGTGATCGGAGAGTGGCCACGTCATTTAAATTAAATTTGCACATTATCACCTTGTTTTGATAAAAAAAAAAGAAGCTTCAAACAAAATGTGGCTGTTTTATTAAATAAATTTTGTTCTGTTTGATTGTTTTCCCACAGGAGGGCACCTCCAAGTTTGCAACTTTAGAGATCAACCCCAAGCGAGCTCAGAGGAGACACCAGCAGCAGAGAGACCTGGTATGAATCAACTCATTTCAGCCCCCGAGCCACGAGCTCCATCTGGAGGCAGATCTTTAAAACTGGTTTACAGGGTCGTTCCAGACCCGAGACTCTTGACAAACTTTTTATAATTTCACTGTTTGTTGTTTTATTTATTTATGTTGTAGAAGGCGTTCTTGTTTTTAAATCCTTGAACATAAAAACTTTGTGAACCTGCACCTGTGTGTGAACAGGGCGTGATGCAGGGCACGATTCCTTATCTGGGGACCTTCCTAACAGATCTGGTGATGATGGACACTGCCATGAAGGATTACACTGAGGTCAGATTCTTTTATTGTCTTGTTTTTGCTTATTTTTTCTATCGTTGCTGACATTTCGTACCTTTTTTCAGGGGGGTCTGATCAACTTTGAGAAGAGAAGAAAGGTGAGTTTAGTGTCCTTATGGCTTTAAATGTGTTCAATGTGCTGAAGACCCTTTGAACACGTGGCTGTTTTTGTGTTTTGCAGGAGTTTGAGGTGATCGCTCAGATCAAACTGCTCCAGCTGGCCTCTAATAACTACAGTTTCACTCAGGACGGTCACTTCAGAGAGTGGTTTGCATGCGTGGAGAAGCTCAGCGAAGCAGAAAGGTATGGGGGAAGCAACAGAGCTAACGCCTGCGGGTTCTCTGAAAAGAATCGTCTGAAGGCACCAAACGATTTGGATTCCTTTTCTCCAGACGTCTTTGTGTTTTAATAGTTGATGTTGTGTTGCAGCTACAATCTGTCCTGTGAGATCGAGCCTCTGTCCGAGTCGGCCAGCAACACGCTGAGAGCCAAGAAGAACGGAGGAATCATGAAGCGCTGGAGCGAGTGAGTGACGGAGCGTCCCGTCCAGAGAGCGACGATCGTTATTTACTCACAAACGGAGCGTTTTGTTTGTTCGTGTCTAAACGTCTGAGTTCACGTGTTCGCCCTCCCTCCTGTTTCGGTGTCGTGTCCAGCCGGCAGCTGTCGGAGGCCGGCTGCAGCGGCGGCGCAGGCTCCCATTCGAAGTCCTTCGACCACTCGCACTACAGACCGTACCAAGGAGGAGGGGGGGACAGCGGCGACGCCCTCAGCGTCACCTCCGTCAGCTCCAGCGGTTCGGACCTGGAGGACGTGAACGCCAGCTTCCTGTCGGATTCACCCGAGGGACACGAGAGGAAGGTGGGAGAAAATAAAACGAGAATCTAATCGCAACTTTGTTTTTAGTGTCTGGTGTTTTAAAGAAACTAAAAAAAAAAAGATTTTACTTTAAACTTTAAAGAAACTCGTCACACGTGGGGGGTTCTTCTGCCAGAAGGGTTTACGGTCGTCAGTTTAAGTTCAGCGCCGCCTTTAAACTTTAATCTTTCTAAGTTGGTTTGTTTCTTCCACAGACAGACGGTCGCATCATTTAACTTCTACTCCAGTAAACGTCTGATTCTCTGTTTTATTCTAAGTGTATGTGGACAATCACAGCTCGGGGAGACGATTTATCTCCACAGATCAGTTTGTGTCCATATCCTGCCAGTGCATGGCTAAATATGACCAGTCTAGATTATCAAAGCTGTTCTGGGTGTGAACAATAGGCTGGAGACATGAAAACACAAAATAACAGCAAAAAACTGTTAATTCAGCAACAAATGGTGTCCATTTAATTTTCAGATTTAAAATGGAGGCTGTACTGATGATGAAGTTTGATGTAAAAAGGTTTACAGTTTATCAGGGAAATGTATTCGTTGCAGAAATGGTTTAAAAAGAATAACTCGTGTCTGTTTGAGTCTTAAACTTGTCATTTCTTGTCCGTCTCCAGACGTCGACTCCTTCAGTGAAGCTCACCGTTTCTGCTCTGAGCAGAGAAGCTCCGGCGGCAGATACAACCTCGACGGTGACAGATTTTATGCTCCGTTCCATCAGGCAACATATTGTTTAGGCAAAACATAAACTCCAACTTAATCCACTAAAATGACCAAATTCAGGATTTAAAGTGAAAAGTTTTAATATTTACTGTTTAGTTGCCTGGTTTTCTAGCTGAATGTGACCTACAGTGATTTGAAAAAGTTCATTATTGTTTAGTGTATCTGTAAACGAGCAGTGCAGTTCATTTTAAATGAAGTGGGGAAAGAAAATCTTGTATAAGAGTAAATATTGTATATTATTTTAAGCAGCTGATGAAAAGCAGAACAGCTTATTTGTTTTAAAGGATCATAATCTTCATGTTAAAGTCGAACAAACTATACAAAGTAATTAAATTTAGTGGCTACAAAATGATTTTCTAGTTTTTATCCATTTTAATATATTTAAATGTTAAAATCGTAGGTTGTAGAGCGATTACCTTGCATTTAAAACATCTCGGTGTGTTGCTGCTGTAACGTCTGTTCTCGTCCTCCTCAGTTCTGGGAGTGCACGTCTCTGTCGTCTCTCGACACCTCGGGGATGGGCTCCAGCTCCGGTTCGGCCTCGGGCTCCAGCAGTGCCTCCTCCTCCTCCGTCTCCTCCTCCACGCCGCTGTCGGCCTCCCGCTCGCACAAACGCTCGGTGTCGGTGGTGTCGAACTACTCGACCCTGTCGCTGCCGCTCTACAACCAGCAGGTGGACGACTGCTGCATCATCAGGGTGAGCCTGGACGTGGAGAACGGCAACATGTACAAGAGCATCCTGGTGAGACGGCGTGAGGTTCTGAGCAGATCAGCTGTTCGTGGACTTTGTTACTGAAGCTGTTTCCTGCTTGATTCAGGTGACGAGTCAAGACAAGACCCCAGCGGTCATCAGGAAGGCTATGATCAAACACAACCTGGAGCGAGAGAAAACCGAGGACTACGAGCTGATGCAGAAAATCTCTGAGGACAAAGGTGAAGCTCAGTTAAACATAAACGAGGTTTATAAATCTAAAGTTTATGTAAATTCACCAGGAGTTAATTTAAATTTAACTTCACTGTGACATTTCTGGAAAACATAGTTGAAACTGACCACGGCACTAACAACAACCAACTTCCAGTGTCACCGCGTGTCGAACGTGATTAATAGGAGAACACTCAAACTCCACTCCAGGTTTTCCTGGTTACCAGCAGTGTTTCTGGTCTGTGTCTCCTGCCTCGGCAGAACGCGCGCACAGGTGGAGGAGGTGGAGGTACCTCTGTGTTGATCACTCGCCAGTTTAGCAAATCATTTGTTGACGGGGGGGTTGATCATAAACGTATATACGTGGTTAGGAGGATGCTTGAGTGGAGCGCTACGTCTGTAGCATGTTAGCTTAGCATTAACTGTGACGCTGTGAGACGCTGCAGGTGTAAGAGACGTGGTGTGTTCAGGTGCATTAAAGTTGAAATGTGTTTAAAACCCACAGCTGAATTTACACAAACTTGGTGAGAAACATGTTTTAAATGTGTGGAATTAAAGGAAATCTAGATGAAATGGTGCTTTTTTGTAAACTAGTGTACAATTTTTTGCACACAGGCGCGCACGCACACAGACTAGTGTCCCCCCCACATTACAGTTGACGCCCATGATTTGACCTCAGTATCTATTAAACTGAGTTTCAGCCATTTTTGTGTTGGCTAATGTGGATCAGCTGTGGCCGCCGTCAGTGAAATAAATTTATTTTATTGTCTGAACTCTTCAGAAGCGTTCGCTCTGTTCTGATCCGTTTTTCTTCCGTATGTTTTTCAGCATCTTTCTCTTCTATAACTTTTGGTATTGGTGCAACTCCAAACTGTTCGCACTCATTTCAACTTTTTTCAGCCTAATTCAGCAAAAAAAAAAAGTGCTCTCTCCACTTCTTTCTTGTAATTTTAGCTTCTTTCTGCCTTTTTAGCTACTTTTCAGCTGTTTTTTTTTTTGCTAATTTCAGTTGTTTTCAGATAATTTCCATTTTTTTGTGCTCATTTCTGCTTCTTTCAGCAAACGTGTTCTTTGTACTTTCTTCTGCTTATTTAAGCTTGCTCTGCCTGTTTAGCTACTTTTCAGCATTTTTCAGACAAGTTCAAGTTTTTCATGGTAATTTTTGCTACTTTCAGCCTAATTAACTCATTTCTTTTCATTCCAGCTTGTTGTGCTCCTTTCAGCTTATTTTTGTTAGTTTCAGCTTTGTCTGCTATTTCAGCTAATATTTAGCCGTTTTATGCTAACGTTAGATTTTTCAGCTATTTCCACATTTTTGGAGCTAATTTCAGCTGTTTCCACTTCTTTCTGGTAGTTAAAGCTTTTTCTGCCAATTTCAGTTGTTTTTTTGTTAATTTCCTAATTTTTGTGCTAATTTCTGCTTATTTAAACCTAATTCAGCAAATACAGTATGTGTTCTTTCTTTCTTCTGCTAGTTTAGGCTTGTTCTTACGTTTTAGCTACATTTCAGCATGTTTTTAGCTAATTTAAGCTGAGTTCTTTTGCAACAAGCATTCGCACTGCATTTTCACAGGAAATTCACTTTTACTTGAGTTTCATTAAAAATATTTCCGTTGTTCATGAGATATTTTGCTAACAGACACACACATTGTACCAATCATAGTTTTTAAAGGTTGAACTGAAGCATCCTCAGGGTTAAAGTGTTTATGGACTTTAGGTGGTTTTGACCCGTTTGCTGCCCCCACTCTTCACACGTTCTCCCTCTGGCTTGGTTCTGCAGAGCTTCGGATCCCGGACAACGCCAACGTCTTCTACGCCATGAACTCCACTGCCAACTACGACTTCGTGCTGAAGAAGCGCGGCCCGGCCCGGCCGGTGCGGGCCAAGACCGTGGCCAGCTCCACGCTGCCTCGCATGAAGCAGAAAGGACTGAAAATCGCCAAAGGGATTTTCTGAGGGAGGGGAGCTCGCCACTTTCTGCCTCCTGCCCGCCGACCCCCGCTCCGGTCTCCGCCCCTCAGAGGAGACGCGTGGGGACAACCGGACCTGAAGTATTTTGGTTGGGGCGAGGGCAGACACGAGACCTTTCTGTGGACTCGCAGGACGCAGTGGAGCACTTTAGCACTTCGCTGCAGCCGTCCTGGCTTCAGGACCCTCGGAGTCCAAGAAACACCGAGTTTGTTCCCGTTCAGCTGCAAGCTCAGGAAAACTGGACGCACGTGACGCCACTCGAGCTCTTCACCGGCGCCGACAGTTCGGTTTCCTCCGTTACGTTTTGTTTACAATCGTTTACATCAGCCGGTCAGTTCTTCGAACGAGGAGATCTTTGCACCTTCATTTTTTTTAACGCCCAGACTTTTCTGGCAGCCTTCGTCCTCGTCTCGTCCTCGTCCGTCTTCTTGCCCTCCGAACAAAGAGACAAACGCCGGGGAAGGCGCACGCACGTTTCCAGACGTCAGAATGTGTTTCCGTCCGGCGCCTCAGCCGACCCGGCTCGAGGTCTCTGAGGCGCCGGCGGAGTTGGCGGGGCTGAAACTTTTCCTTCATGTCCTGAACGCTAAAAAAGCACGAGACGTGGAGGGGACACCCAGCGGGCACAGCCAAAACGTCACACACACACACACACACACACACACACACACACACACACACACCCCACTGTTTCTGTTTTTATTACCGACTCGTAACCACTACATGGAGGACGAGGCGGCGGATCGCCAGGACTGAAAACGAACCGAGTGTAAATATGAAGTCTCATCTGTGCAGTTTGTTCTTTTTGAATCGAACCGAGTGCTTTTTGTTCACGGACTCGTCACGTTAACGCCGTCTTTGCTTTGTACATCCGTTCGCGTCTCCCTGCTCTCGTACGGCGCCGCTACTCGTCTTCAAAACGCTCTTCCTCTTCTCAGCCGCCATGTTGGAAGGAAACTGAAACCTGCAAATTAAAACCGGTTTCAGACTAAAAAAAACAACATCTGCAGTTTTGGGCTGAATGTTAAAGACATTAAATTATTTTAAACATTTGTAAATATAAGAAGAATATTAAATAAAAATTTGTTCTACGAAAACGGAAGGTTCTGGTCACAAAAAGGCAGAAAAATTTAAAATGTTTAACAGTTTTTTGTGTCTTTCCTGCTTTTCGTTTGAAGATCTGCCTACTTAATTTAAATTAATCTTTTTGCATAAATAATTATGATCTAAAAATTGCAAAGTGTGAAATCAAATAAATAGGAATTTTTTTCTACAACTACATTTACGATGAGTTAAATCTACCGCTAGTAGTTTTTAGTTATGTTGACGTAAAGTTCAGGACTGCGGGTCTGCACTCAACGTAAACAAGTCTCAGCTGAAAACCTCTTTGAAGCTCGAGTCTGTGAAAGTGAACAAATATGGCCGATACGTTTCGCCTGTTTTCAATCACTTCGGCTGTTGCTGCAGCTAAACAAACGCAGCCGCTCGTCGACAAGTTTTCAATCTAAGGGCACATGAATTTTGGATAATTTTGGAATTTGTATTATGGTTTTCTGCGTTTGTTAATCTACTTTTAATCAGAATATTCCACTTTTCAGGGGAGAAACTCTGGAAACCATTTTGTTTTTAAATTAATAAACACTAAAGATCAATAATTGTGTTTCCAGGTTTCCTCCTGCTGTTTTCTGCGAGAATATTCAAACTTTCGTAAAAGGTCGAGCTCACGTTTTGGGTCAGAGTTCTTCCAACGTGGCTGCTCATCCTTCCTATCCGCTTTTCCGACGCGCCATGAGCGACCTGCAGGTTTGATCTGTGACACGACGCCTGAGAACAAAATGTTTCCGTGCACGATCGCAGCCGAAGAATCAAAATAATCCGGAGTTGGGGGGTAAATGAATAATTTCAGCTGCAGAACACGAAGGAACTGTTCTTCTTTTCTGTTTTTCTGTAAAGAAAAAAATCCAACCTAAAATGCTTTTCTCAGTTTATAATTCCCGTATTTTCTGCACATCACACAGCTTAAACTCCAAATTCTGACTTTTGTTTTTCACCTCACACCAAAGCAGCTTCCACTTTCCACCTAAAGGGACAAACGTTTCCAGTTAACACACTACTCGCGCTTTTTATCCAAGGCGGAGGAAAAGAAGCGCCTGCTGCTTTACATTTTGTGCCAAGCTGTTGCAAAGCATTATGGGAATTGAAGGAAATCTAAGGAATTGCTTATTCGCCAAAAGCACTGAAGGGTTGGATTTTTCCTGGCGAGTTTTTCATATCGCTGCACCAAACACTCTGTTGTTGTGCTGGGACCAAGTATTGCCTTTTGTTTTGTTCTTTTGTGTACGTTGTTTATATTTATCTTATCGATCAAATGAATGAAGAGCCCTGATATTAAAAAATTTTTTAAAAATCAACATGCAGAAGCAATATGTTGACGAGCAGCACGTTGTCTGGCTGTTGTGGACGTTGTTGTGAAACCCTTCACTGTTGAACACTGTGACCTTTGACCCCTCCTCTTCGTCACGTCGAGCACTGTGACCCAAACTCCCCGTTCAACGCTGCTGCAGTGAAAATCCAACCATCGCTCAAAAGGCGACCGTCTCGACCCTTCGCGTGCCAAATAAATAAGAAAACTGAGAGAACGAGCAGATGAAACGTCAGCCTTTCACAGTGAAGAATAAAAACATTTGTTTACTGGAGGTGGGGAAAGTTTAAGAACACTGATGATGGAAAAACTAATATCTGGACCCGATTTAATGATGAACCAGAAAACTTGAAGTAAACGTGTTTGTAGCTGAAGCTAAAACTCAACTTTAATCTTGTTTCGTCTGTTTTTGTTGATTTGGTTGAACCAAAAAAAAAAAAAGATAAAATATTAAAATTTTGCGTCTTTTTAAAAAAAAAAAAAAAAAAACATTTCAACTCTGAGCACTAATGGTTTGATATTTTTTGTCTAATTTTTAACAGTTAAAAACCAGGAACCTAAACATCAGCTCCCTCCTCGTTCAGCAGGACCGGCACCGTTTGGTCTGAGCAAAAACTTTACCGTTTGGATATTTATTCAAATCAAAGTTCCTGCAGCAGCCGTCCATCCGCTCGTTATGCTCACGGCTGAAACTTGACGATGAATTTCTGACCCTGCGAAGTCGCTGTGATGGACTGTGTGTGTGTCGTCGTGTTGCAACTGACCTTTCTGTGATTTAACCCGGTTCTGTGAGTTTGAACAAGAAAAAAAAAAAGCTGCGTTTTACAAGAAGATAAAAAAAACATAATAATAAACTGGAAAGAAGTGTGGTGTCATGTGTATTTTTATTTTATTTTTTAACTTTTTGTTTTGTTCCTCTGCTCTGGTGCCATTTTCCAACTAAACAGAAGGATTTCCAACATTTTTCTAACAGCTGTTGCTTTTTTGTTTAACTCCCCTCAACAACAAACAGCCGTGTAGAAAGCAAACTGTCCATGGTTGTCTTTGTTTATTTATTGATTTGTATATAGAGATTTTGTTTTCCATTGTACATTGTCCTCCTTTCTTGGTTATAGATTAATATATTCATGTATATACGAATAAACATTAAGTTTGTAGAATTGAAACAAAGACTCTGCCTTTTCAATTTAAGATTGCCTCAGTTGATTTACCATGTAAGTTTATATTTATATAACACATTTTAACACAAATTGGATAGCTCAAATGTGGGTTAAATAAAATGCAATAAAACAAACATGAAACTACAATAGTAGCAACAATGCAATAAAAATTATGTAAAAAAATTGACTATAGTTTTAAGCATGTTAAAAATGTTTTTTAAAAGACGATTTAACAGACCTTGAATGTCTAATAAGGGCCTTGAATGATTGAATTGTCCTTCAGTCAAAAATAAAAGCATTAGTACGGGTATACGGTTTTCAGAAAATATACTTGAAAGAGCAACAAAGCTCTGACATTTAGTTCAATTTAATTTCTACTAATCATTGTTAAATGTATAAAATGGTAGAATGCATTTGCTTTCTTGGGTTCGAAGAAAAAATAGTTAAAAAAAAATGTTTTCGTGTGAAACTTTTTGTAATTTTGTTATTGCAGTTCCGGATGTGTCCACCAGAGGGCAGCATCAACCTGAAGATCGCGTCAACCTAATTAACAACCTGATTTCAGTACAGTAAAGTATGTTTCTCATTAGAAATAATCATTTTTAAAACTGTACAATTTAACGGTGTCAAGCCTCATAAATCGTGTCTCTGCAATACAGAATTCAAATCTGCATCAATATAATTTGACATAAAGATAACATTTAAATACTTTTTATATTACGACACTAAACATTTTACCATTTATGATTTTGCTTTCAACAGAAATCTTTACAATTTTTGGGATGCTTCATAAAAATTCAATTAAACCTTTGTTTATTCAGGTTCGTCTCATTGAGTCTCGAGGACACATTTACAAGAGAGACTTGTTTTAAACAAAGAACACAGATGACAACAGTAGACAATCATTAAAAAAAAGCATATAAAATAATTAAATGGAAGAAATTATATGAAAAAACGAAATAAAAAACGGCTACATTATAAAGAGATGGAAAAATACTAAAAACAGGAACATGTCTGTTGGTTTTGCCATTAACTTAGCAGTTGTTTAAAGACATTTAGAAGCATGTAATGTCCTAAAATGCAGTTTTGTCTCCCTCTAGTGGTCAAAACCAGGTTATCCGATTAAACAATTTTCAAAATAAAAGTACAATTTTGAACCTTAACAACAAATACTTTTCTGTAGTATACATTACAGCCAGGCTAGTCTTTTGTCTGGTAATTATCTTTATGTAGGTTTTTTTTTTGTTTTGTTCAAAAGTGTTATAATTTCTGACCTGCAATCTGTTTTTATACATATTTTTCTAAGCGCCCCAGAGCTTTATTTAATTGACCGGCCGTTGCGTCATTTGTTTGCGACAGAAAAAAAATCAGGCGACGGGTTTTGCTGTTCGCGCTTGCGCAGTAGCACGGAGCTTTGTTATTTCCTTTCGTTATGGCGCTGAGCAAAACGTTTGGACAAAAACCGGTCAAATTTCAGCTTGAGGAGGATGGAGATTTTTATATGATTGGTTCCGAGGTCAGTGAGTAGATGTTTAACAACTTGTTACTTTTAATAACTAACTTTGGGGGTGGGATTTGCCGTTCAAACGTAAGAACTAGTCTGTTAGCTGCTAGCCCATTAGCTTAGCTGTATTCACAAGGAGGGAGAGATCGGAACGCGTGAAGGTTCATTCATTTATGTTCTGAGGGCAGCGCGAGGATAAAACGTGCGGATCGACACGAGGGAACGACTTTTGTCTTTAAAAATGTCACCTGTCTCATGAGGCCTTTTCATTCACCTTGTCTGAGTTAGCTAACTACTAGCACAGAAGCTAACCATCCGCGCTTTGACCATTAACTTTCCAATGATGTGCATTATCTCAATTGTTTTGTTCATTGAAGGTCTCATTCTTGTTAAATATTTTGAAATGTATACTTTCCATATTTTGTTGCACCACTGTAGTCATAAAAAGTCCAGTTCAGTAATCACTACAAAGTTACACGCTAACAAACAAGAGTTTTTTTATAAAACGATTGACTTTGTTTCTGCACATAATAAGCCAGGTTGAACTCTTGTTCTGATTAACACCATAAAATATGAAGTAACTCTAACTGTGTTAATGTTTAAAACAGATTAAAAGAGAAACTAAAACGCACCACAATGAAATTGATAAATATTTAAAAGCACACTGCAGCAGTTCAAGACGTTTTTCTTGACTTATAGTCCTGTTTTTATTTTTTATTTTTTGTGTTTTACTGTAATTGTCGTTTCATTGTTTACTACACTGAACAAAATTAAAAACACAAAAAAGTGAAAAAGAGAAATGCTTTTTGTTGTGAACCCTCTGATCATGAAAAATGAGAGTTAAAACAAATCTTTGTTCTGTATAGATGTCATAGGTAATAGTTTCTTGTATTTTGTTTATTTTTTGTACTTTTAGATTTGAGTTAATGTCTGATCAAACTGACCCGTTTGTCTCTGATTTTATGTTTTTATCAGCTGTATTCAGTGGTTACGAATCAAGTACACTTAAAAATCAGTTTGTACCTGTTCTAAATCACTGTTACTAAACACATCATATACGAGGTGTCGTTTTTTTTTTAATTAGACTATAAGACTTCAAACCTTCCAAGTTACTGGACAAAAACAATGTGAAACCAGAATCAGTAAATATGTTTAATAATCACTGAACCTGTTTGGCTGAAATGATCCTGTGTGCGTTCAGGTGGGGAACTACCTCCGTATGTTCAGAGGCTCCTTGTATAAACGGTACCCGTCGCTATGGAGAAAACTGGCAACGGTGGAAGAAAGGAAGAAAATAGTGGAGTCCTCGCACGGTCAGTAGAGTCCAGCGCTGACGTATGAAGTGTGTATCTGAGCCCATTTCGATTCACACGTTAGTGACATTAGAGATCATTTTTTAATTTTGGTTTTAGTCACGTGAACTGAGTCTGATTTGTAATTTGCAGCTGTGTCATTTGTTCACACTTTCAGTTCCTGTTTTGGTGTCGACTTAACGTTTTGTATTTTTTCCATTAAGATCATGGTTACACTCAGCTTGCCACCAGTGTGACGCTGCTGAAAGCCTCGGAGGTTGAGGAGATCCTTGAAGGAAACGATGAGAAGTACAAAGCTGTCTCCATCAGCACTGAGCCCCCCGCCTACCTCAGGTACACCCAACAGTCAGCTGTAAAATCCATTAGAGGCGGCCTGCTTTTAAATGTTGTGCTTTTGGATAAGAAATGCTGCTTATTAATTACTGACACACACATTTGACCATTTAATCATTTATAAACAGGAAAATAAAGATGGATAATGCCCCTAATTAACAATCACTGTTTCTGAACTTAAATTCAATTTCTTATGTCTTTTTTAAACAAAAAGGAGCCTCTGCTGGTATTACTTCTATCTACAGTGTTGCATTCTGAAGTTGTACAAATTTAAACACATCCCCTATATGTCCTGGTCTGTAAACATCAGGGAACAGAAGGCAAAGAGGAACAGTCAGTGGGTTCCCACGCTGCCCAACAGTTCCCACCACCTGGACGCAGTGCCCTGCTCCACCACCATCAACCGCAGTCGACTGGGCCGGGACAAGAAGAGGACCTTCCCTCTATGGTGAGGAACAAACTTCAAACAGATCTAACTTTTATCTTTCAATAGTTGGAATGAAACACCAGCAGGTGATGAAATGCGTGTTCGGATCCAAGAACCAGATACAAAAATGTTTGTTGCAATGTTAACGTTTGTCAGCGGTGGAGTTTAAACCGCAGTAATAAATGAAGTAGTTTTGGATCAGACTGTTGTAACGGCTCTCTGAAGGTTACAGGAGCTGGGTTTTACAGATGGCGTTGTTCATGTTGTGTACAGTAACTTCCTGCAGGTTTGTGGCTCTTATAACAGTTAATAAAGAAAATTGCTAATTGTTTTCATTATTAAAACTTAACCAAAGCTGAAAGCATCCTGGGACAGTTTGTGCTATTTTGATCTGTAACAAAAACTCTGCAGATTATTTCTGCTGCTTTGGAGCGATGTGAAGGTTCACAAAAATACAAGATATTAGATATAAGAGATTTTAAAGACATAATTTCAGAAAATTTACATTTTATTGGTCTAAAGATTCTTCAAGCATACAGGAGAAAGACTTCAGTTTTTCTGTTAACAGTTTTCCTTCTTGTTTTTATCGTCTCCAGCTTTGACGATCATGATCCTGCAGTAATCCATGAAAACGCCACCCAGCCTGAAGTTCTCGTTCCGATTCGACTGGACATGGAGATCGAGGGTCAGAAGCTCCGAGACGCTTTCACCTGGAATATGAACGGTAGCGTCCCGTTGTCACTTCCTCTCAGCTCGTTTACGTGGAGTTAAAGACCCATTCAAAGTTCATTTCTTTGTGCTTTTTAAAATGTTCAGAGAAGCTCATGACGCCTGAGATGTTCTCTGAAATTCTGTGTGACGATCTGGACCTGAACCCGCTGGCCTTCGTCCCTGCCATCGCCTCCGCCATCCGACAGCAGATCGAATCATACCCGACAGACAGCATCCTGGAGGAGCAGACGGACCAGAGGGTGATCATCAAGGTGACGCTCCGCTCAGAACCCCCGAGCGTCTGTTTATTGAATATTTAGGTGTGCTGCTGCAGCTCAGTAATATTTGTGTTCCAGCTGAACATCCACGTGGGGAACATCTCTTTGGTGGACCAGTTTGAGTGGGACATGTCAGAGAGGGAGAACTCTCCGGAGAAGTTTGCCCTGAAGCTTTGCTCCGAGCTCGGCCTGGGCGGGGAGTTCGTCACCACCATCGCCTACAGCATCCGAGGTCAGCTGAGCTGGCACCAGAGGACGTACGCCTTCAGGTACAGAACCTCCCACCTCAACAAGGAACTAGGAGTTTATTGGGACAGAAGTTATTTTCTGCAGCTTTCAGCCTCCATCAGTCATTGGGTTTAGTGAGATTCTTGGTGAAAGCTCGGGTCCTCGCTCCCCCATCCTGTTTTACTGCAATAAGCAGCTTTATGTCGATTTAACGCTCTTTTCCTTCAAAACATTCTTCGGTAAAAGTCAACAACAAGTACGTAGACGACTGCTCCTTAGAGCGAAACTTCAGCATTCTGGGCCCGGCCCATCGTCATCCCTTCATTTATGGGAGTGCAGAACGATTAAAAACCACAAGCTGGGCACACTCTTGGGTTATCCAGAGGCTTAAACAGTTTTTAGGTCATAAATAAAACATTTTTTATGGCTCTTTTAAATTAAAGAGTTTTAATAAAACTACAGCTCGTGAAACTAATAAATGATTTTATCTTGGTTGTGGTGAGAAAGTTATCTCAAGTGATTAATCAGTCTGTTTTTGTTTTGTTGCTGTTCTGCAGCTGATCTGTGATCTTATAAGGATTTTTAAATTGAAACGAAAAAAATGTGGTGAGTCACAGGTTTGCACAGAAAGTTTAAAGAAATTGAGAAAGCTGCTTCCATGTGGAAACGGGTGTTTTTGTTAGTTGCCGTGACGATGCGTCTGCGACCTCTGACCTCCTTGTTGGAGGCATTATGCTCGTTAAACCAGAAGATCCCTCGTTTTAAGTTTGTCCCACCCTGAAGTTCTGACGGGTCTGCCCTTTGTTTCCCGGGACGTCAAATGTTTCCAAACCAAGGCGGACCTCTGTCACAGCTGGACGTCTGAGTGGAACAGATGTTTTGAGTTGGTTTGTTTCGCAGCTCAGCTCGAGGAGGATGAATGCGTTCAGAGGTGTCAGAGCAGGGTTCAACGTTTGGTAATGACCTTCCGTTGTCACAATGTGCCAACAGCCGCGGTCGCCTGCTTAAATTTAACGAACGGGAGAAGTTGATAAACGAGCCAAAGGTGCGTGACCGTGTTTGATGTTTTACAGCGAGAACCCTCTGCCCACGGTGGAGATCGCCATCAGAAACACAGGTGACGCAGACCAGTGGTGCCCCCTGCTGGAGACCCTGACAGACGCAGAGATGGAGAAGAAGATCAGAGACCAGGACCGAAACACGAGGTGAGCGTTGCTCATGCAAAAACTAAAATAAATGCTCCAAAGAGTTCATGCTGAATAATCCAGGTACAAATCCAACAATGTTCAGTCGGGTCATCTGGACGGCTGCTTCTTTTGCAGAGACATTTCATCCTTAATCCAAAGGACTTCTTCAGTCTGAGGAGCCACAAACAGCATACAGTTTGTGGGAATCAGTTTGTTTTGGTGGCTCCTCAGACTGAAGAAGTCCTTTGGATGAAGGACGAAACGTCTCGGCAAAAAAAGATGACCTGACTGAACATTGTTAAAATAAATGCTGAAATATCTTTTATAAATCAAATCAGTTTGTATTTATTTGTACCCAAAAGAAAATTAATATTTTGAACGTTCAAACAATACCGTTATTAGCAGCAACAGTAAATTATTTTCAGTCTCTAGTAAATCTGGCGTCACATAAAATGTTGCACATAATTAAACCGGATTTGACCTTTTCTTTTGCATCGTTTTTCACAATAAAAGCCTCAGGTTTTTCCTGCTGTTGTTTTGAAAGTGCAGCTGCTGACATCCACTTCCTGCTCGTTTCTACAGGCGGATGAGGCGTCTGGCGAACACGGCACCAGCGTGGTAGAAAGTCTGCGCCCCTGCAGGATAGTGGCTCGTGCTGATGATGGTTCGAAGCGGCAGCAGAGGCTCCTCCTCCTCCCCGGGCCGGACGCCGATCTCCCCAACTCCATTTTATTTTTATTAGATTTGGTTTGTCGACGGCTCGTTGGGCCCTGGTTCACGTGACCCTCAGAGAAGCTGCTCTCATTGACCACTGACTTTTACCACAGAGGGGAAACGCCAATCTCAGATAATATATTGCGTCGTTGTATTTGTTGTCTTTTTGTACATTTTAATAATTCTTACAAAATAAAAAAATGTGAAAGAACTTTACTTCCTGTCTGATTATCCCTTATTGTCCAGTTTAAACCCCTGCAGCTCGACCCTTGGTGAACAAGAAGGAAACCAACGTCGGAACTTCCTGTTCCGAGTTGTTCAGGATCGTGATGTTCGCGCAAAATCTCAGTCGATTCGTACGGAAGCCCTGAAGTCTTCAGCCAATCGATCTACAGGCGTTCAACAAGTTCATCTCAGCGTAAACTAATCCCTTCAGAGCCTGAGCAGTAAAACCAGCTGACTGCGGCTCTGACCCGGAGCTGGGCGGCCCGGGTCAGTTTTGTTGTCGTTCTAAGCACTTTCCATTCTGTTGTGAGCCACAAAGGCAGCGGGTGAAAGTGCAGCGCGAGCAGACGGGTTTTCAGACCCGTCGGCAGTTCTGAGGACCCGGTTTGATCCGACTGTTTGGTTAAACCTAAAAAAAAAAGGACAAACTGAGTTAAAAATCAAACTGTTTTTACACATGCATTAATTCTCAACTACAAATAGCTGATAGACCATATTGGAACTTTCTTTTGCATTTATTTATTCAAAACTTTATCATTTTTGTCACAATAAAAGCCTCAAAATTTCCCTGTTGCTACTTTGAAAGTGCAGCTGCTGACTTAATGACGTTTAGACAAAAATGTAAATTTAATCACTGCTTTAAATGCTAGAAAAAATTCTGCTTAAGTAGCAGGGAAAGAAAGTTTTCAGTCCAACAGAAACTCGAGTTTAGATTTTAGTTTCCTGATTTTTGTGTGAACTTGACGTGGAACTGAATTTTAGTTTGAACGTTCTTCTGGACCGAGCTTCATAAACGAGCGGTTTGATCTTTTCACACTCCTGCCTCTGATCCTTAATTTTCCTTCAGCTCTTAGTCGTGTCGCTCCTCGGGCCGCAGATCTCCGTCCTCTTGGTCAAACATGACCCTTCTGTAAAAAAAAATAATAATAAAGACAAAACATTTAAAAAAACAACCAAAAAAAAACTTATACTCTTGACTTTAATTTGTATTTTTAATTGCAGATGTGCAACATTTAAATTTTCAGATTTTAATATTAAACCAGAGAAACTTGACTTCTCAACCGCGTCTAAAATGTTTAATCTAGAATAACCTGAACACCAAACGCAAACTTCTTTTTAAATAAAGCTCTTAAAGGACAAATATTTCATGTCTTGATTCTCAAAGTAGCTCACGTTCAAACCAACATCACGTCTTTTACCAGGACTTTGGTTTTAACCAAAAGAAACTTATAAACATTAGTTTATTTAAAGTTGAACGACGCGTCCTAAATCTGTCAGGTGAACTTTGAACGACCAAACCCTGAATCGGTGAATTCGGTTCTTACAGCAGCTCTGGAGTCGTCAGCAGCTTCCTTCCTCCCGGTTGGTTTGGAAACACGTCCTCTAAGAAATGATACAGGTGACCGACGCAGACACCTGAGGAGAGAACGAGAAAACACTGAACCGCTCGTCTGTTGTGACGCGCAGAGGAGCGGCTAAACTAACGGGGAGAACGTCCGTTAAATAAAAACCCAACAATCCGCAGCGATCGTCGTCAAAAAGAGGCAGACGTGTCGTCATTCAGTTCCTCTGAACAAAGTCGTGGTTCGGGTTTCTCACCCAGGAGGTCGACCACGATGGAGTTTCCTAGCAGCAGCGAACATCCCGTCAGCACCCAGGGGAGCAGCGGGGCCCGGACGCTCAGCGGGCCGAAGACGCTGGTGCGCGTCAGCGGGCGCCTTTTACTCCAGACGTACACCAGCGTGACGAGGAAGGCCTGACCCGGGAAGAAGACGTCGGCCAGCGGAGCCAGCAGCTGCAGACTTTCAGGTTAAACGCAAATAATTTCTCAGGGATTAACAGCCGAGTGGTAATCCTAACTAGACGAGCAGCTTCACGTCAGATTTGTTTTTTTGTTTGGAGTTTTTTTTGCAGAAAGTGTCCGACAGTCTGGGATCGTCACATTTCATAAACTCAGGGTGAACTCAGGTCGTCGGAGCTGAAACTTTTATTTGTGCCGACTGAACTCGGAGTTTATCTAAAGGTAGGGACGTTGACCCGTGCAGACGTACGTTTTTTTAACAAATAAGGAATGTTGCGTCTTCTGCTTCTCCTGCAGGGACAATCAACCTCAAGTTTATCTCGTCTTGCAGACTCTGCGTCCCTGATATTTTACCTGTGGCTGAGATTTTAACTTTGTCTTCATGGTGATCAGATTTTAACTTTAACCTCGGAAACCGCTCTCAGTCAGGAGGTTTTTACTCCTTCAGCAGAGCCTAGAACTGGTGCTGAGTCAGAGTTAAATTAACTGCTGAGTCAGCAATTACAAATCTAGCTTTCAGCTACAACTTAGGCCAATTTTAGCTACAATGTAACCAACTTTAGATTGTAGTTAGATTTAGCTTTTAGCCACGATTTAACAAAATTTAGCTTCAGTCCACAATTTTGCTGTTTTTACCTTCTAATTAGTTTTTACACATTTTAGCTTCTATACAGTTTTGTTGTTTTTATCGTTTAGCTTTGATCTGGCCAATTCTAGCTTCTAGCTGTGGTTTTGCTGAAATTTGTTTTTAAGCAATTGTTCAGCTAATTTTAGTTTTTGGTTACAGTTTTTCTAATTTTAGCATTCAGCTATGGTCTTGCCAATTTTAGCTTTTACAGTGCCTTGCGAAAGTATTCCTTGAACTTTTCAACCTTTTGCCACATTTCAGGCTTCAAACATAAAGATATAAAATTTAAATTTTTTGTGAAGAATCAACAACAAGTGGGACACAATCGTGAAGTGGAATGAAATTTATTGGATGTGTCAAACTTTGTTAACAAATAAAAAACTGAAAAGTGGGGCGTGCAATATTATTGGGCCTCTTTACTTTCAGAGCAGCAAACTCACTCCAGAAGTTCAGTGAGGATCTATGAATGATCCAATGTTGTCCCAAATGACTGATGATGATCAATAGAACCCACCTGTGTGTAATCAAGTCTCCGTATAAATGCACCTGCTCTGTGATAGTCTCAGGGATCTGTTCAAAGTGCAGAGAGCATCATGAAGACCAAGGAACACACCAGGCAGGTCCGAGATACTGTTGTGGAGAAGTTTAAAGCCGGATTTGGATACAAAAAGATTTCCCAAGTTTAAACATCCCAAGGAGCACTGTGCAAGCAATCATATTGAAATGGAAGGAGCATCAGACCACTGCAAATCTACCAAGACCCGGCCGTCCCTCTAAACTTTCATCTGGAACAAGGAGAAGACTGATCAGAGATGCAGCCAAGAGGCCCATGATCACTCTGGATGAACTGCAGAGATCTACAGCTGAGGTGGGAGAGTCTGTCCATAGGACAACAATCAGTCGTACTCTGCACAAATCTGGCCTTTATGGAAGAGTGGCAAGAAGAAAGCCTTTTCTCAAAGATATCCATAAAAAGTGTTGTTTAAAGTTTGCACAAGCACCTGGGAGACACCAAACATGTGGAAGAAGGTGCTCTGGTCACATGAAACCAAAATCAAACTGTTTGGCCACAATGAAAAACTATATGTTTGGTGTAAAAGCAACACAGCTCATCACCCTGAACACACCATCCCCACTGTCAAACATGGTGGTGGCAGCATCATGGTTTGGGCCTGCTTTTCATCAGCAGGGACAGGGAAGATGGTCAGAATTGATGGGAAGATGGATGGGGCCAAATACAGGACCATTCTGGAAGAAAACCTGTTTGAATCTGCAAGAGACCTGAGACTGGGACAGAGATTTATCTTCCAACAAGACAACGATCCAAAACATAAAGACACATCTACAATGGAATGGTTCACAAATAAACGTATCCAGGTGTTGGAATGGCCAAGTCAAAGTCCAGACCTGAATCCAATCCAGAATCTGTGGAAAGAGCTGAAGACTGCTGTTCACAAACGCTCTCCATCCAACCTCACTGAGCTCGAGCTGTTTTGCAAAGAAGAATGGGCAGAACTTCAGTGTCTCCATGTGCAAAACTGGTGGAGACAAACCCCAAGAGACTTGCAGCTGGAACTGCAGCAAAAGGCGGAGCTACAAAGTATTAACTCAAGGGGGCCGAATAATATTGCACGCCCCACTTTTCAGTTTTTTATTTGTTAAAAAAGTTTGACACATCCAATAAATTTCATTCCACTTCACAATTGTGTCCCACTTGTTGTTGATTCTTCACAAAAATTTAAATTTTATATCTTTATGTTTGAAGCCTGAAATGTGGCAAAAGGTTGAAAAGTTCAAGGGGCTGAATCCTTTCACAAGGCACTGTACATACAGTTCAGCTCATTTTAGATTTTAGCTGCCGTTTGTGTCTTTATTGCTTTAGCGTTCGCTCTGCTCCTTTTAGCTTCAACTCCTCAGCACTCAATTATGGGAACATTTTAAATCCGACGACGACGACAATAATAAATCAGCTAAGATCTGCTTCCAGAAACCTGAAACGTGAAGTTCTGGACTTTACCTTCTTAAAACTACAGTTAAATAGATACAAACTCTTTGAAGTCAAAACTAAGTGATAACTTTCCTTTCATCCCAGCTGATTGACAGAGCGTGGCGGACCCGATTACACGGTTTCTGATTATTTCAGCAGAACCTGTCGTCACGTTCCCGCTCCTAAAACTGTCCATGAAATACGACGACTTCAGCAGGTCCCCATAAAGCTGCACATCGGCCGTTTGACACAACCAGGAACAGGTTGTTTCATTAACCTGGAATGTGAACAAAAGCACAAACCGCTGAGCGTCATCACACAGGCTGACACTGACTGCGTGTTTTTAGCGTGTAGACAACAACTCAGAGTGCAGATAAAATGTTTTAACAGTCAGTTCCCTCAAACTACAAAAGTTTTCAAACCACGAATGGAAGTTCAGTTAGTCATTCAAGAATCTATTTATATCCTCCAACTTCTCCCCCTCCACAGTGATGCTCTTCAGCTCCTCCTCCAAGGTGTCCCCAGGCCAGGGAGTTCTGGGTCTACCAGAGGTCTCTCCCCAGTGGGGCAAGCCCAGCAAAAGTCCAGGAGGGAGGCGCCCAAACCACCTCAACCGACTCCTTTTGATAAAGAGGAGCAGCGACTCTACTCCAAGCTCCTTCCCCTCCACCTCCCTCTCCTGCCCGACTTATTATTTTTAAATTCACCCCAGGTCAGACTGTGCAATGCTCAGAGAAATGACTGAAATCCCTGGAGCTCCATCTCAGACCCTACTGGCCTCAGTTAGCGGGTCAAAGGTTAAAGTTCACGGCAAGACGACGACCGAACCACCACGGTTATTTTGGAACAGTTGCGGTTCTGGTTCCATGTCGGTCAACAAGACTTCTGTAACGATGTCAGAGTGGAGACGTTTGCCCGTGAACCGAACCGCTCACACCAAACGTGAGACCCAAGGACCGAACTGGGCCGTGACGTAGCAGATCTAGAACCTCGACCTGATCGAAGCGCCGCGGCGAGAGAACCGAGCAGAAACAAATGTCCGTAAAACGCAACGAACTGAAGCGACGCTGGCGAGAAGAATGGGCCAAAATTCCTCCACAACCTACGAGAGAAGACGATAACCGAGGTGATTCTGTTAAAGGTGGTCCGACGGGCTCCTTTTAGTTTTTGTACTTTAAAAAAGTACCGAAATATTCAGTGTTGCATTTACCTCATTTTAATACCTGGGAGGAACCACGTAACTTCCAATATTCTGATCTGCAAAAGTGAAACGGAGCGTACTTACCGTTTACCACAACTTGATGTTTTATGGATTTCTGATAACCTAAAAATAAAACCCTTAAGAACCAGAAAGGATACAGTTATGAGGACTCCGCCGAACAGGAAAAATACAACAAAGTCGGCCGTTCTTCCTCGAAAACTGTCTTCCTCCAGCATCCGACAGTATCGATAGCTCACACAGGTTAAGGACTCTGCTTCAGATCGTCTCTAGTAAATACACTAATGCTGCTGTTATAAAGTTTTTAAGGGTAACTTAAATTCTACATTTGCATTTAAAGATACAGAAACGTTATGTTGAATATAAAACCAAATCCGAGCGATCCAAAGAAGAGGAAGCCGGTTATCAGGCGCCATATCTGAAAAACACGAGAAGCAGCGAACTGTAAAAGTGATGACTCGTGTTTGGGTTTATAAAACAGAGTAAATGTACCTGGCAGCTCCTGATGACGAGCTCTGGATTAAAGTAGAGCTGAAACGGGCGGACGACTTCAAGTTGCTTAAACAAAACAAAAAAAAATACGTTTTTGTACAACTTTTACATATTTATAGAGGACGATGTTTGTAAATGTGATCTACTGTGACCATCATGTCTACAGACATCAAAACATGGTTCTGCTGTGAGTGAATTCACAAATTAAAGGCACTTCCTGCTAAAACGGACGACAAAATAAAACCATATGAAAGATTTTGTATACAGAAACACCAAAATATGTTCATATCAGTGTTTCCCTTAATAATTTATTGTGTATTTAGAGACGCTTGTTCTTAGGCATCCATTGTGGGGGTGGGGTGCTGCAGTGCCCAGTGCGCCCCTACTTCCCACAGCCTTGTTTACATCCCACTTCTTACGCTTCGACCAGTTTTACCACTGACCGACTCAGTTGTCATTAGTTCACTGCATTTGATAAAAATGCTAAACGAAATGTTAAGTTCAGATTCTCCACGCTGAGCGCTTTTAATTAAAAAATAAAGCAGACACCGGTTATTCTTAACTGACAAACTTACAAGTTCAGCGTAAACTTTCATCTTACGAACTTAACAGTTATGAAACAATACAAGAAAAAAAAAATTTAATTCCATCCTTCTCAAAAAGTGATCTTAAAAAAAAAAAGCTCAACTTTGACCTACGCGTGTCTTCTTTTTGTAACGGCAGTAAAACAAAACGTAGGTTTGTTTGTTTCTTACCACGGCAGCGGTGGTGAGGACGCAGGCAGTCGTGTATGTTCGGGTCACCACAGGGATGTGAAAATACTCCTGAGTGAGGCTGAGAGCCATCGCTGCTGCTGCCGCCTCGCTGTCAGTCATGGTTTACTCTACAAAACAAGCCCCGCCTCTTCACACCAACAGCCAATCAGATTCAAATACCAATTAACACCATCTATTCCACACACTGGGCCACATGATGGAGTTTACATGTTCTCTCCGTGCATGAGTGGGATTTCTCCGGGTGCTCCGGTTTCCTCCCACAGACCAAAAACATGCACGTTAGGCTGATTGGTAACTCTAAATTGTCCCTAGGTGAGAGAGAGTGTGAATATTTGTCTTGTCTCCATGTGTCCCTGTGATGGACTGGAGACCAGTCCAGTTAATTAGTTAATTAAATCTATTAAAATTTTTTATTTTATTTAGTTTGTAATAAAAATTAAAACAATGGCATTAGAAAAAATGGAAAAATTTGACAACTGACCTAAAAGTTGCATAAAGATCAAAATGTTTCCTTAATTTAAAAAAAATTCATATATTTATAGAGTAAAGATAATTTTTACATCTATATTTAATTTAAAATTATCCTTTTTTATCAAATATATCATATAAACATGAATTTTCATATTTGACCTTTGAGCTCTAACACCGTTTTACATCTGAAAATACAGTTTTTATTCTGATCACTGAATTCATTATGAAAAATATTCACATTTGGCTTCAATACTTGTTTTCTTTTTCACTATAATCTGCTTTCATTTTTCTTTAGGTGGCATTTTGTTAAAAAGGTTAATTTATTAAATACAAAAATAGAAACAGTTCATACATTTGTACAGGTAATAGGTTACAAACGAATATAAAAAAAACAAATCAAGACACGTATGTACAAGAAGCTTTGCTGTTTATGTATAAACTCGTTGTAAAGCAGTCACGGATTAACACTTGGGATTACGATTAAATGACTCGAACAGCAGACTGTAACGAAGCGGCGTCTGAACAGCGACTGGAATGACTCGTCAGTGTCCTGCACTGAAAGAAAAACAACGTGAAATGAGCGCAGACGTCTTCTCTGAGCTGTTAAGAGTTCAAGCGGTGCAACCAGAAACGCAAAGCTGAAGCAGCGGTTCTCAATCTGAGGCCCCGGACCCACAACGAGGCCGTATGACGAGCTTAATCAGGGTCCTCTTAATTATTTTTATATACCAAACCTCATTTATTTCTAATTTCCGTTCAAATATTTTAATGTGGTTTTACTGACTGGACTTTTAATTTATTTTCTGTCCTTGTTAAAACTCTGTCGTTGTAGTTTTTAGAAAATGCTAACGAGCGACACTGAACCCTTGAAGGGATCATTTTAGACTAAATATTGAGCGGAAAAAGTAACAATTAAGAAAATAGCCATAAAAATATATAAAGAATTTAAAAAGTATTAGCTTAATTTTTTTTGATGGATAAATCAAAAGCTTTTGGTTAGATTTTTTTTTAAATCAAAGATAACAAAATACTATTAAAATTAGGCATAAAATAGTATTTTTACACCAACAAGGGGATTCCAAAAGCTTTGCTCCAAAAAGTAAACAATTACAAGAATGTTTCTCTTTGACTATATATATATATATATATATATATATATATATATAAGCGTAAAAAGTAACAAT